TCTTGATCACAGCTTTATTCTCTCCTGCCCACACCGAGCCCATGAAGACCAGAGCCACGACCGCCCCACCAACAAACATGCCCAGCGGGTTCAGAAAACTGAAGAAACCACACCAGACACATTTAATGCACATCAATTAATCACTATTAATGTCATTATACAGTATTCAGTTGGGACACTCTGTTAAGGGTCATTCACATCAAGGAAGACAACTATACTAAAGTTATCGGTATTGCTATCTTAAGTTATCGGTAAAGATATCTTAAGTTGTTGGTATAGTTATCTTACACTTATCTGCATATTTATTTTAAGCTATCAGTATAGTTATCGGTATATTTATTTTATCGGTTATCGGTGTAGTCTCACTTCAGTATGTGCTTATAATAACTATAATGTTATTGTCCGTTGGTGTGGCTGCTAATATAATTGTCATTCTTGGTGTGAACTGGCCTTTGTTTTAACAAAGAAATAAATATGGCTTTTAAATAAAGAATTGTAAAACTTTGTACAGAAATAATAATAAAAAAAATAAAGAAAGCCTTAAAGTCCGCATGAAATCAAAATGGACTTTATTTACTTTTCTAACCAACCGGGTTGTGGCTAGAAGGGATACAGCTAAAACCGGAAGCGAGGAGGAGCGCAACAATAAAGCCACGCCCTCTATTCAATATTCCGTTTAAGCAGGAAATACGTCACTACACTGAAATAAAGTCGGCAGCAACTTCCGGTTAACACGGACTTTAACGTGAAATTTTTTTTTTTTTAGCTCACACACCAAAGAGTAAGGTAGATGTATTGCAGTTCTTTTTTTTTGGTTTGATTTTAAAATTGTAATGTTTGTTTACAATGTTATTATATTTAATTTATATTATATATATGTTTTTATTTATTTATGAGGGACTTTAAAACATGTCATGGTATTCCGGAATCCCGTTTGTAATCAACTGTCATAAAATGAGCTGTGTTTTAAACCAGATCCCTGTTTGAGTGTGCTTCTGGACTCCAGGTTAGTCGTGTGACTCGCTGACAACAGTGCAGCACACAGCCAAAGCGTGGCTCCACCTTCAACACATTCCTCACAGCAACACACACTTCTCACGACACACAGGGTGTTTCTGATCTCGCACTGTGCTTAACGCTCTGGACTGAAATAATGCCGTGTAAACTATACAGTCACACGCACAGCACTCTGCACCACGCTTTGATAACAGACTGAATGATGGTTACACTAGTAAATATACATGATTAAGACCTTTAAGTTACATACCCGACAATCAGAATTACGACGGTAGCGGCTGCAAAGTAGTTGGTCTGATAATAAAGCAGATTGCTGATCACTCTGTTATTCCATCTGCTTAAATCAGACACATCGGGTTTGGAGAAGCGGTCAAAACCAGGGAAAAAATCATCCCACGGCCTGAAGGGCGCCAGCTCCATTCCTGCCATGATGCTCTGCGTCCGCGATCTCCGGGTTGCCAGGTCTTCACGACAAAACCCACCCAACTGCTACTCAAAACCCGCCCAATGGCGTTTCGAGGGGGTTCCCCCGATAAAAAAAATTGCATTTCGGGGAATAAAATACACGTGTTTTTTGGCGGGGTTCACCTGGTAAAATTCGCATTTTAGGTGCTAAATATCACGTTATTGGGGTCGCTTCAGCCCGCGGCAACCGTGTTAAAGCGGAAAACCGCGGACTTGGCAACACACTGTCTCTGACCACTGTTGCTAACTCTCGCGAGACAAATAAGCTACCGCAGCTTCAAAAACAAGCCCGATATTTTTTTTTGATTTATTATCATCAATACTATTTATTATCAATTATTTATTACCAATAAATGAGCCTGCAACATATTAAACTGAAACTACACTTTTATCTGAAAAGCAGAAACATGCGCTAGTTTACAAAAATCAGCAAACTGCAACAAAGCAGGAACAAAACCCTTCTCCAATCACCTGTGAGCAGAATACATCTGGTTCGAGTAGCCAATATTTTAGTAGCCTATAAATATGTGGCTATGTTACAGCTCCCCTTTGAAGCTCTTGTGTTTTTCTCCTTTTCCATCTCTCCAATCCTATTCTTTTTATAATTTATATTTTTACATACAATTTAATTTCACACTTTTTATATAAGATTTTTTTAATACAAATATATGATATCAGTCAAGTGCACGAATGTACCCTGTTCAGTGTGTGCAGGGATCATTCAATAATATTCCTAAAAATAAATAAATAAATAAACAGCATATACTATCCACACAGGCACATAACTACATAACTGAACGGTTTGATTATTTCTCAGTCTACAACTTGACATTCATAAACTGTTCCTCTGACATCTTTTGATGACTCATGAGTAAGATAAACAAATTCAAACAAACGTATTTTTCTGAAATGTCTGAAGTTTTAGACATTTGCACTTTAACAATGAACACAGCTTAAGATCCACGCGGTTGTTTCGTTCAGTGAACACTGCAGTCTGCCCATCGGAGAAAAAAAAAGGCAAAATGACTATTATTTTCCAGTATTATAAATGTAATGTTTTTGCTGATGTAAACGTGTTTAGACATCAGAATGCAGTCTCTGACAGAACTGTGATCTAGAGGATAAACATCAGCAGTCACAAGTGTATCACAAGAACAAAACATGCTCACACTAGCGTTACGCAAAAGATTTAATCAAAGGACAAACATACAAAAAGCATCACACAGACTTGCATAAATACATTTATTAATAACCTTTTATATAAAAACCAGTATATCTCAACACAAGCAAGCATTAGAAAAGTAACAGTGCTTGTACTACATAACGCATGATGAAAAAGAATGTAGCTTCTGTGTATCTGATCTTCCAGAAGGCTTTGGTGCATCTTTTCATTTGACATATCAGAATAATTATGATGATGCCTGATCAATGCAAACAATATTGTAAAAACGTATTTTGTGAATTAGATTTTTTTTCCCCATTTACATTTATACACACAAAATCAAACCAACTAAGCCACATCAAAACACCATTAGAGTCTCTCACATGACAGAAGTTTATTCTCATTGTCTCTTACTTACTTTGTGTTTTTATCCACCAGAATCCCACTGCTCAAAAAGACACAAAGTGAAGACTCGTACAGATTATTACAGACTTGTTCATTCCCCAAATTAAAAACTCAAACAAAACAAAAAACACTGACAAAGCGGCAGTGACGTCTGAATCTTTTCACAATATTTATAGTCACCAAAAGTATTTTTCATTTGCAGTCCCACTGAAATGGTAGAAAGCTTCTCCCACACAGTATAAAAATAATAAACCCATAAGCATTAAAATATTTATATGCTCTAAATAATGTTCATCTCTCAACAGTTCAACGCTATAAAAATAGTTTAAAAATTATTCAGTAGTGAATTACTCTATATCATTATTTTCCTTTAAACATCAGTCAGCAAACAAAACTAAACTAAATGAAAAACAAAACAAAAAACCTCTTGATGAATCCTGAACGACATGAAGAAAAACGCATTCTACTTTGAAATGGGGCTTAATCAGAGGTTTGGAACAAAAACAAAACCAATATCATTTTTGTGGGAGATTTTAGTATTTATCCTCCGTTCAGTCCTCCAGACATCTGTTAGAGAAGAACCAGCACCAATTTGAGTTTCAAGAATTTATACAGTGTGTTATTTCAACACCACATTAACCGTCACTATCAGCAGGTACAGATCCTAGAAATTGAGAATGACCTCTGTGTGTGTTACGAAGGTCACGGCGAAGGTTTCTGTGGAGTCCTTGACTCTGGGCTCTTTCACTAATGCACCGAACTAAAGCAAACCATTGACTGATTCGGACCCAGTTCTGAAGCCAGATTCAGGCACTTGACCTACAAACCAAGAATGATTTCTAACTTGTACACACAATACCAAAGTAACTGGGAGAGAGCAGCAAGTCCCTTTCATATAATCTGGCAACTGGTACACAGCACATGTGTGTCTCTATGAATCTGTATGATCCCACAGTGTAAGTGTGTGTGTGTGTAAGTGTGTGTGTGTGTGAGTGAGTGTGTGTCTGTGCATCTGTGTGTGTGTCTGTTTGTGTGTGTCTGTATGTGTGTGTCTGTGCGTGTGTGTCTGTGTGTGTATGTATGTGTGCGTCTGTGTGTATGTGCGTGTGTGTATGTGTGTGTCTGTGTGTGTGTCTGTGTCTGTATGTCTGTGCATGTGTATGTGTGTGCGTGTGTCTGTGCGTGTGTGTGTGTGTGTGTCTGTGTGCATGTGTGTGTCTGTGTGTTCGTGTGTGTCTGTGTGTGCGTGTCTGTTTGTGTGTGTCTGTGTGTGCGTGTGTCTGTGTGTGTGTGTGTGTGCGTGTGTCTGTGTGTGTGTGTGTGTGTGTGTGTGCGTGTCTGTGTGTTTATGTCTGTGTGTGTGTGCGCGCGCGTGTTAAGACAGGGTTCACAAAATAAATGAAACAAACTGGCAGTCCGTGTCTTGCTTTTACACTTGGTTATACAAAAAAAGTAGTAAAAAACGTTTAACAGACGGCCACTTTTGATTGCATGCCTATGTGGAGTGTGTCCACAGTGTGTCTGTGTGTCTGTGTGCGTGTGTTTATGTCTGTGTGTATGTGTATGTGTGTGTGTGTGTCTCTGTGTCTGTTTGTGTGTGTGTTTCTGTGTGTATGTGTGTGTGTGTGTCTGTGTCTGTTTGTGTGTGTGTGTGTGTGTCTCTGTGTCTGTTTGTGTGTGTGTTTCTGTGTGTATGTGTGTGCGTGTGTCTGTGCGCGTGTCTGTATGTCTGTGCGTGTGTCTCTGTGTGTATGTGTGTGCGCGTGTCTGTGTCTCTGTGTGTGTGTCTGTGTGTGTCTGTGTGCATGTGTGTGTGTCTTGTGTGCGTCTGTGTCTGTGCGCGCGTTAAGACAGGGTTCACAAAATAAATGAAACAAACTGGCAGTCTGTGTCTTGCTTTTACACTTGGTTATACAAAAAAAGTAGTAAAAAACGTTTAACAGACGGCCACTTTTGATTGCATGCCTACGGTTTTATTTCTGCTCAGTGAGGCAATTCTTCCACAGATCGCAACATGCACACACGTTCAAGGCATTTCAACGAGGAAAAGAATATCGAACTCTCTCATCACACTAATAAACGCAGCACTGACAGCAGCAACTCCTAATGCTGTCAGCTTAAGGACACTTAAAGAATCGTATGGTTTCATATAAACTACGTGCTGACAGAAATACAGGTGATAGATAACAGAGAGCAGATCACTCAAGCGCAAGGAAAAAGGCCACAAAGTGCTGAGAGAGTGATGTTCCAACACTTTTCACAGCTTCAGGGCTTCATAAACGTCTGTATAATGCAGCACATTTAACTTAAGGAGGAAGTTCACCGGCAAGCTTTCTCCTGCGCTCAAAACCTCTTCACATTTTTGGAGAATCTGAAACAAAAGGCTGGCTTTCATTGCGTTGAAGATAAAATCCACACTTGCACAATGTCACAGTAAAATCTTTAATAAGTTCCAAGGCCTTTGCAACTGAAACTAAAAGCGATTATCACCACTGTGTTATGGATTATATCGATAACCGTAAGGTAGCCATGATAAGCACCAAGGCCCCAAACCTGGCCAGGTAGGCTTTTTAATAGTCCTGGGTAAGCATGTGAACCCCTACGCAATAAAGGCATATCAATCCTTAAAGAAACAGATCATCCAAGCCTGCAGGGGGAGCCATCATCTAATCACCTCAACCACAGTCCATGAAAAACTCAACAAACGCCGAATACCAGATCAACACTGCATCATCCAAGCCTTCAGATGGCGCTCTCACAAACAGCTCCGCCTCAAACATTGCCGCTACAAGCAATTATAAAACGATTCTCAACATTCACACGCAAACGCGACACTAAATTCAGTTGCTCTCAGTATCGAAATGTAAAATCACACAGCTCAGGTCGTTTAAAAGCTACGTACAAACGAGTGGTGTAGCAGTCCTTCGCCACCTCAGCCGCTTCTCACTGAGCTTCATAGTAGCGTACAGGACTGAGGGGCTAAAGGGGAATCATAGGAAGCGTACAAATCACACTGAATAGGGTTTAATCGTGTTCAGGGCCGGATAAATGCTTCAACGAGCGAGCGAAGTGCAACGTCTTCTCTTCACATCGATCACAAAACCCTCAGAAAACCTCTCAGTCTTGCTAAAAAGTCACAAGCATATGGATATAATGATTGATTAAAAATCTAAAGTTCGTTTTAAAGATGCAGACAGGAAAAACAGGAGATAAATAAAACCTGAACCATGCCGTACAACTAAGTTCCTTAGTTTGTTCCTGTGGTTCTTTTCGCAGTTATCAAATCTGTTTCTCTTCTAAAGTTCAGAGTGGAAACAGAGCATCACATTTTGGGCAGCTGCTCTCGGTTTCCTCTTACGAGGCTTTAGATTTTCTTGCTCTTGGCGATGTCTTGTCATCTGGTTTCATGACTCCATTGACTGAACCCCCTGTCAAGGAGAAATAAAAGATAATTTGGTTAAATAAACAATATTTCAATGCCAATGCGCATTTCTGGTAGTAATTTTACAACCCAAAAGGGAACTAATATGATACATCGCAAATGAAAAAATACTATAGTAATTTATAGTAAATACTAGTGTTTTTGAAAAGTATAGTAAAGTACTTGAATTAATTTGTTGTGGTAATTCTATAGTTGCTATGGTAATATAACAACTATAGTAATATAAACAAATTACTTTACCCAATACTGTACTACAATACTAAGTTTTCTACAACTATAGGGTATATTATACTACAATACACTACAGTTTACTGTAGTAAAAACTAAAGTATACTACAGTGTTTATAACAGTTTATCAGTTCACTACAGTTAATACTACAGTATGCTGTAGCATTCATTAAAGTGTTGTAAATACTATAATATATACAGTACTATAATACACTTTACTATAGAATGGTTCAAAAGCACTATAGTATTTACTATAAATGACTATAGTATTTTTTTCACGTGGGATGCTTCAAACATTCAGGTGTCTACCATTATCTTGTCGTGTGTTTTACCCAAGACAGGTGATGAAAGCATATTTCATAGTTCAGATGCTTATTTTCTCAAACGAAAGTTCAGGAATATCTAAATTGCTCCCTTATTTAATCTGTCTTATTATAATTAATGAAACTGTTAAAGGTGCATTCATTAGTAACCTCAAAGTTGTTCAAACCCAATGGCAGAAAGGTGTTACTGCCACCTATCAACGTTGATCCGCATGACCGTCTGAGCTTTATGTGAATGACACTGATACTAGTGAGTTTTAGACAGCGCTCTACACAATAATTCATTCCCGTACCTTGTCTATCAAAAAAGAAGCATCTCTGGCATCACTACTCAGGATTTCGTGGGTCATGAAATCTCTCCACCTTGTGTATGCCGTACTAATGTTTACGCTCTGTATTTGTCTTTGTCAATCTTTCTCTCTTCTGGCTTCAGTCCTTTTCTGCTTCTTTGGCCTTATAGGTTCTGATTCTCCCATTGGTTAAGCACAATAAGTGTTTAGTCGAGTCACTGCAACAGCGAAATGCACTATTGATCTGCACTCTGCATAATTAAAGCACTTATAGAATACTGTTAGGAGCAGTTCTTCATCTAATGCGAGACTCTTCACAAAAACTACTTATTTCCTAATGTGGACACATTTTTAAATCAGTACCAAACTACTGAAAGTACACTGCAAGCGTGTGACTTGTGTCATTTACTTTAAGAGCCTGAAAAGAACATTATTACTTGACTAGTCAGCTAGACTCTACCTATGAAACTAATAATTACCACAATTCATCTACCAGAGAAAAAAACGTGTGCTATATATCTTACAAGTTGTTAATACCTGTACACAATACTGTAGCTGTCCCTCTTCACTCCTACATGGAGAGTCCGGTTGTGGTTTAATTTTTTTTAAATCTTAACGTCTTAATTTTCATCAGATCCAGGCAGCATCCGGCCACTGAACGTCATGGTCCCAATTTCAATACTGACATGACAATCAAGTTAATCTTACTGATACAAGTCACTATGAACGAAGAGCCTACCGGCTCTTGTTTTGAATGAGTTTGAATCACTAACCAGAAATGTTCCAGGAACAGAGGTTACATTAGTTTTTCTTTAGTGCAACACTTGTGAATAGGCAATTTGAAGAGTATTGTCTAGAGTACTAAAGATAAATAGGGTTCTTTCAAAAAAAATATTCTAATCTACATGCCAAATGACTTTCAGGCAAGACTCACCCCGAGAGTCCTTCTTGTTGGGTCTGCTTTTTGGGCTGACAGCTTTCTTCTTGCTGGCCTGGATTTGAGATTGTTCTCTCCACTTCTTCAGCTGGAAATTGATGAATTTCCACATCATCCAGGCCTGGGTCAGGCAGATGGCTGACAGGCATGTCATCCTAAAAGAGAGACCATCATTCACAAATACTTCAATATAGCTTCAGAATATCTAAAATTTGAGTCCTACCCTCACTGTTCGATCCTTGGATGGGAGGGCTGTCTAAGTCACATCAGCTAACCATTGCATACCTCAGGGTTCGGTGTTTGGCCCTCTTCTATTCTTGATATACACAACTACACTGAGATCATTCAGCCTCATGGCTTTTCCAACCTGCTATGCTATTGACGTGAAGCTCTGACTGCTGTTTAAGCCTGATGACCCCAGAATACAAATACAATTCTTGTGGACGTGTGAGACATGGTTTATTGAAAACCACATCCAATCAAAATCCTGCCCAGCAAGTCAACACTAGGGATGGGTATTGTTAAAGTTTTTTACGGCATTACTACTCTTACCGGTACTGCTTATTGATCCGGTACTGTCAAGCTCAAAGTATGCATCACTTTTTACATGTACGCAAGGGTATGCATTAGGGCTGGGTAAAAAATATAGATATCTCGTTATTAATCGATTCTCATGTTTACGAAACGATATCGATAATTCCCGAGAATCGATTAGTCTAGCCAAAATAGATTAGGAATGCTTCCGGCTTCGCTACCGTTCGGACGTTCTTGCTTACTGGTTTTCAGTTAATGGACGGAACATTGAAGGGTACTTCCCATCCAATAAATCGCAATAAGCATTGTGCTTTGGTACTTTTCATATGAAACAAAGTCTCCGATTTCAAATTCTGTCCATTGTATTGCAGTATTTAATCAATAAATGCCGTTTTGGCGCTGTTTTGTGGAGTGATCGCTGTAGCTGTAGTTGAATACGCGGCAGCGCGAGGCGCACGTGAACTGATCATCTACTCCACATTAATACCAGTTTCAAAATAATCACGACTAAACATCCGAAGCTAAGTTAAAAGAAAGAGTACAACTTTACAATCCGTATTCTGTCTCATGTAATCGCTCAATCAGTGTTTCAGCCTCGCAAAGACGTCAATATAATGTCTTGTAAACAATACACGTAACGTCACATTTACCTCAGAAAAACATATTCAGTGACCATAAACTCATTAGTCAGTCAGAAAAATAATCTGTAGAGAGGGACATTTTGCTAAATATATGCACCATATAACATTCATTATAATTTTTTTGCTGTTTCCACAGCTAGACAGAGTTTCTTCTCAAACCTTATAAACAGTAACTTAAACAACACTCGCACTCTTTTTGCTACTGTTGAGAGACTGACAACCCTAGATACCTAGACAATTTTCAATCTGGTTTCTGACCGCATCACAGTACAGAGACAGCGCTCATTAAGATAATAAATTATATTAGCTTAAATTCTGATTCTGGCAAAATATCAGTGCTAGTACTACTAGATCTCAGTGCTGCGTCTGACACGGTCGATCATAACATACTTCTAGAGAGACTGGAAAACTGGGTCAGGCTTTCTGGGATGGTAATCAAATGGTTCAAAGTCTCAGATTTCAAATTCTGTCCATTGTATTGCAGTATTTAAACAATAAATGCCATTTTGGCGCTGTTTAATTTATGTTTGAATAAATCCATCAAGTTTTTATGACAGCCACCATTTAAATGTTTATATTTAAAAAAAAAAAAAAGCGAATTGAAGTAGAAATAATGTAATGTTAAAAACTTCATTAAGTGTAATTTTAGCAGTTGTACAACAAATCAGTATATTGTAACCTTCAATATTATAGTAACGTAGTACCAACTGACTGTATATTTTACATCATTAGTTGAGAGATTTTTTTTTCCTTTAGAAAATTTGCCATGTACTGTACCTGATATGTATCCAAAATAATCGATATTGAATCGAATCGGTAATCGAATCGAAAGATTGTGAATGCAAATCGAATCGCGAAATTTGTCTCAAAACCCAGCCCTAGTACGCGTATGCACATGACGTGAATATCGTCATCAGAACTGTACATGCGTGTACTGTACATGCACCGTCCGGTTTTTTTAAACAGTGCGTACAATGCAAACGCAGCTCTCACATGCATTCCGGATTGTTTTTGCAGTACTCAGTTTAATGTCCACAAGGTGTTAACACGAGTTAACAAGTGTGTTTTCTTTGAGCAGGGGCAGTTCATATATGTGACCCTGGAGCACAAAAGCAGTCTTAAGTCGCTGGGGTATATTTGTAGCAATAGTCAACAATAC